AAGCTCCCTATTGTTAGGAGTATTTGGATACTGTCTGGGGTTAAATGTGTTGTTGATTTATTTTTTTAGATGTGTAAATAAGAATTGTTTTTTGCTTGTTTAATTGATTTGTAAAAGTTGATTTGTTGTTTAAGAAAATTTCAGTTTGCATTATGTTGAAGGCAAAAAAGGCCTGTTGAAGGTACACTTTCGCAACGTGAAAATCGCAATGCGAATGTGACTTTCGCGTTGCGAATTCAAGGAAAACACCTTAAAAAAGATAACAGACAACAATCTGATAAGTGATAACAACTGAACATATCATAGCAATGTTCAAACTCAAGTTACTAATGAATGTCTAACTGAGAATGTATGAATTCACACATAAAATACACATAATACAACATTTGCATTTAAAAATCACCTACGTTAATAAGTCTCAAAAGGTGAAGCCGGTTGTGATTGGGATTTTGATTGCGATTTTGATTTCCATTTGTTTGGCACCATATGAGCTTTAAATTTTGATGAGGATCCATATTTTGGTAGAGGAAAAGATGATTGTGATGGAACTGGTGATCCACAGGTTAACCTTGTATGACCACTTTCCTTGCACCGACTACATGTCGATATCCTCTTCTCTTTACCCTTAGACGATATACAATCATGATTTTTTGGTCGGCCAGGTAGTCTGCTATCCATGACTGGTGGCAAAACTGTTTGTAAGTCATCTGATATGTCCCACTCAGAAGGATGTGGAATAGGGTAGACAATCTCGGCATAAGTCTGTCGATATACTTCTATAGTGTAGCAATCCATATCGTATGCACTTGAATCATCTTGGTTTAGATGAAGAGCAACTTTTATAACATGGCCACACGAATAACCAGATGTTTGCCATTTCATACAACTACGTCTTTGCATTTAGATCGACAAGCCCATTTAAGTTAATACTTTAAATAAAGTGTTTGAACATGGTTCAACTCTCCATGATGTTGACTTCACAACACGTTTCGTTATCTTTTTTTTCAGTCCATGGTGTAACACGACGTTCCAATGTTCCTGTAAATTTAAATAAATAATATTTAGTAAAATATAAATATGATAAGTTACGAATTTAAAGAAATAATACCTGCATGGTTTCTTTTCTTATAGTACCACTGTTGAATAGAGGCTCGAAAAAACTCCATTAACATAGTAATGGGTAATTTTCGAGAATGATGACTTAGAGCGTTGATTGATTCTGCACTATTAGACGTCATGAAACCATATCTTGCTCCAAGTTGATGTACCTTGACCATTTTTCAAACCCGACATCTTCTAGTGTTTGAGTACATTGAGGCAAAACACGTCTTAAACAATTTATATGCTTATTAAAATCCACTTCCCGATAAGCTTTTACAGCCTTTCAATATGTCCATTTGTGATTTTTTATACTAGCAAACCTTGATTTTATATTTCTGTAGAAATGAACACCACAAAGTCCATGAAAAGCATATGGGAAACACCTTCTAACAGCGTTGTCAATTGAGTTTTCCCTATCAGATATGATTGTCAGATTGCTAATAGGACCTATGCAATCCTTAAGATGCCCCATAAACCATGTCCATGAATCAGAGGTTTGAGATTTACCAACCCCGTAAGCTATTGGAAGTATCCCATTGTTAGCATCCATGGCTACTGCTAATAAGTTTACTCCAAGGTATCGACCTTTCAAATGTGCTCCGTCAACTATAATAACTGGACGCATGCAAGTAATAAACGCATGAATCTACAAAATAATATACACAAGAAATATAATCATTTAAATGTGAAATGCATGTAACTAAAAAAAATGAGTCAACAAAATTATATTGATTTACTAACCGCAACACCAATGGCGATAAACAACAACTTAAAGCATCCATCTCTATCTGTTTTGATATGAGTTACCGACCCATGATTTTTTAGCTTTAAATTGTGACAATAAGTCGGCAGTTGGGCAAACGATGCTTCTGGAGACCCCCTCAACAATTCCAAGGCATAACATTTGGCTCTCCAAGCTTGAGAATATGAGATACTAATCTTGAACCGAGCATTCATGTCAGTCATAATTTCATGTCCCCGATATACCCTGCCATTCAAAAACATTAACTCAGCCAAAAAACCACATAACACCTTTTTGTTTGCCTATCTATGGTGAAGAAAAACTTGGGTTCTTGGACATGTATGTTTATCAATAAAAGTCCTAACTTGAAACATTTTGTAATCTTTTATCCTCTTTGCAATCATACGCCACGTACAGTTTTTTTCAATCATACACTTTGTTTCGAAACGATCTTTGCTTGATTTGTTAACTTTTAGTTGATAGTCATATTCCACACATTTCGTATACAAAGTTATCTTCAAGTCTTCCTTTGTATCAAAATAATCATCTTTCTTGATACGAATAACTTTTGTGTAACAATCAATTTCTATCTTTACCAACTCGTCTTCCAGTATCTGAAGTAATTCTGGCATATTCCAGTTATACTCCCGTGGCATTTTCTTCTTTTCTTTTCTTCGGGGACTTCTTCTTCTTCTTCAGAGTTATATGAATTACATAATGGATGTTCAACATGTTCATTCACAGTCGTAACTTCCTCCTCATTATTATCAACAACATCTTCCTCGGAAGCGGTTGTTTCATCATCAAAATTTGGGTATTGACCAATATCAAAATCATTACACCCAGGGTCTGTTTCTTCTTCTGAAACATCATCAAAATCTGAGTATTGACCAAGATTGAAGTCCGGGTATTGACCAAGATCAAATGTCGAATACTGACTAGTACTCACAATTTTTTTTGTTGGCTCATAATCGTCTAAATGGTTAATACGAAAACCGAAATTTGGTGCTAAAAGTTGATTGGGATTTGGATTAGGAAAAGGTTGTGGGTTTTGAGATTGTGTTTGATATTGTGTTTGGTATTGGAAATGTGGTGAAACAAAATTTTCTTGGTGATGAAATTGTGGTGGAACCATTAAATTTTGAGGTTGATAACAACGTTATACATTGTGAGCACCATAAACTGGGGTTGAAGAACTTAGTTGATTACTACCCGCTACTGACCCAACTTCACTACTTCTAGGTTCAACAACATACAATGTAACATCATCTTCTTGCGAAACACTAATGTAAGCAATGAATCGTTCAACAACTTCATTGTCGGTTAACAAATAAACTTTACCTTTTCTCTGATAAGATAGCCTAAATCCACTTAGAGGCTCTAAATTCAATTTCTTTGCAACACGTAACATTAGAGTTTCATAAGTTAACTTTCTTAATAACAGTTTTAATTGAAGATTCATGGGTAAAGGCATATATTGTAAATCACCATGAACATTCTCCCATGACTCTCCAAAACACAAATCTATCCAAACATGATCAACATTAGATGATTTCATTCTACAAATTATAAATTAATTTACTAAACAAACGAGCTATAAACTACATATCATCACTAACTTAGAGAAAAACATACCTATAGTTGATAATTTGGGAGAGAAATCATTGAAAAATTATATAGAAATAAAATTATGTAAAAAAAAATTAGAGATAGGGAAGGATGTCGTTGGATATAGGAACAGATGTCATCGGAGAGAGTGCTAGATGGAGATTGAATGAGTTGTGATTTAGGGATTTATGTTATGAGTTGTTGCTGCTGCGTAGTTATATACCCAAAACATTTGTGTTGTGAAAATAAAACCTGTTGCGAAATTAAAATACGTGTTGTGAATTCGAAAATTGAGTTGCGAAAACAAAATTTGCGTTGCGAATTTGAAATTCAGGGTTGCGAATTTGGAAACTGAGTTGCGAAATTGGAATTCGCGTTGCGAATTTATTGGTCATTTTTGTAAATCCAACAAAAAAATTATTAAAATCATATATTATAAGATATTTTGAGTCACTAAAATTATTTTCTCTATAAATTATATAAATTATAATGAAATGGGTTGGCTCCATTTGCTGCTTTTATCATCGAAAGCAGAAAGTACCCTAATTAATGCATAAATCAAAGTGAACTTTCGACGTTACTAAACATATTTAAATATTAATATCAATATTAATTAATTTTAAATTTAATAGAAATAAAATATTAAATGAAGTTTAAAAAATAATTAAAAATCATCAACCTATATTTTATAAATACATATTAAATATGCTATTTTTTCGTGAAGATGATTGTTTACTTTACGAAGATAATGGCTTCCATCATGATTCCCAAAACATTACATCATTTCCAAACACAATATATATACATTGTAAAAAATGTATTCATGTATTCTATTATATTTTATTCGTATTTAAATTGTTTAAAAGTCACATTTACGTCTGTAATAGATTTAATTTATCATTTTTGTCCTTATCGTATTTTCGAATTAATTTAGTTTTCTAAGTTACTCAATTGCATCATTTTATATCATTCCTCTAACTTAAAACCCTAAATCATAAATTATAAGGTAGTATTTAGGGTTTAAGTTTTGTGGTTAAGAGGTAATGGGATTATGGCTTAAGATTTATAATTTAAGGTCTTAGGGGTAGGGTATAGAAAAATACAATTGAATAACTTAGAAAATTAAATTGATGTGAAAATATACGCAAAAATAATAAATTAAATCTACTAAAGGATCCTATTTTAATTTTGTATATTTATGTATTTCTATGCATGTGGGTTGATTAATGCATGTAATTAAAACAGTGGTCCCTTATTGCGATTTAAATTCTGTATTTAATCGATATAGTCGCCATCGTTGAAAATGAAGTGCCACTTTCTTTAAACCTTTGCATTCTTCAAAATTGAAAATAAAATAAAATAAATGTAATAATTAAACAAACTTTTTAAATAGATATATATTAAATGCAACCAAATTTACTTTTTAAAATAACTGTATTCACTATATTCCATCAGTTTTTTCTCCAAATTTACTTTTTAATGGACACCTTGTTAGTTGGAAAATAAAATGATAAATTACAAAAGTTGGCTAAAGAGGAAAAATAATTGTAAGAATACCCACCCAAAGGCACATTATTATCTAACAATTATTAAAGGGTAAAAACTATGTAAGAAAAGAAAAGTTTAGAAATTGTACCCTTATCTTTAAGGGCATTTAACATTTCTTCCAGGTCCCCCATAGTAAAAATAATTGCCCCAAACTCTATTAACTCCTCCTTGAATATCATAGCAGTTCGAATGATCCGCAAGCACTCGAAGATTCGACAATGGGATTAAGTTGTTGTCCCAATCGACGACTTGCAGGTTCCGAAAATACGAGGCTTTTCGGAACCCTTGGCCGGCGAAATGACCGCTGCCCATCTCGGTCGCTGTGTGGAACCCCCCTGCCCTCGAATTCACGATTTCGCCGCCGAATTGAACCATGCTGGCATGATCCCGAAGGTGAGTGAATAAAAACGATGGCCAGTATCCTACTAGGATACCCGACCCGAATTCGAGCCACCAATTCCCACGCTTTGGATCCTATACCATATTTTTGGTCATAAAAATATACGTTGAGTTAATCGGCTCGTAAGAAAAAGGTAAAAGGGAAGTTCCCTTGTAGAAATCAAATGATTCTCTTTGTTCACAAAGTGGAACGAATAGAATCTTATAAAGCAAAAGGCAGTAGGAGAATTACAGGCACTTCCGGTGGTTAACAGTGCACGCGGGGAAGTGCACTGCACCATTTCTTTTCTCATAGGAAAATTTGTAGAGATTTAAATTAAATTTGAATTTTATTCTGTTCGATTCGACTCGAATCGACGGATGATAATATTACCTTCCAAATCATGAGGCTGATATCAAATTGTCCTCCATTATATGCTGATGTGGGTGAGATAGCAGCTCCAACTGCTATTCTATTATTCGTTTGAACAAAACCTGAGCATAGCAAATTATAGCACCCAGTCGCTCGGTATGCGTCCGTCTGCCAATAATTTAAACAGAAGCATTCATTTCTTTTTTTAGCTTAAAATGATTTATCTTGCGACTTTATAATAATTAATTTATCGAAGTCAAAATTAATTTGTTTCCGAATAAATTCTAATTTACTTACGGTCCAATAAGTAAAGAATCTGGGATAGTTGTCCCCATATAGCTCTGGGCTGACCTGCATTTAACATAGAAAACAAAACATTCACTCGGATAACGGATTACAATACAAAATCAAACCCGAAAAAGATAATATCAGAAGATTATGTATCAAATAAAGAGTAAGTTATGTATTTAGTCACTCAACTATGATTATATGTCAACATCGTAGTTAATTTTTAAATAACGGGGGACCAAAATAAAATAAAAACAGAACGTAACATTAGTGATGATTTTTGAAAAAATAATAATTAGATGACCAAAAGTAGAATCAATGTGATAGTTGAGTGACCGAATACGTAGTTTACTCTGAATAAAATGGGTAGATCGAAATAGGAGATGCCTGCCAGCCGGCTTCAACGGTGTTGAGATCGTCGCCGAATGAACCGGAGATGACCCAAATTTGTGATAAGCTAAATTCATATTGATTTGAGACACGGGGTGCCCACACATTTATGCTTGCTTTTGCTCCATAATATTGATCCCCGCTCACATACCCAACTGCATGCTGTAATCCAATAACTATTCCATATAATTTATATTCGGACATGAAATAAATTCTACAAGTAGACATCATGTGTAAATTGAAATTAGTGTGAAAGTGATGTCTCAACGTCTGAAAAAAACAGTTTGCCTCCATGAAAGTTAAGGTTTTAGAGGTATTTTTGAAGAAGGAAACCTACCTCATGGCCATTGCTAGTGGAGTCTCTTCGAACACGTCTTCTTGGTCCTTTTCTTCCGAATCTTCTAACAGAACTAGCCCTCAGAATGTCTGCTTCTGTTGTTCTTCTGATCGGAATTGTCCCTGCCGGACATGTCTCCCCCGACATGCTCCACAGTTGAAAATCTTCACCTCCCATCTCATTTGTGTTAACCCCACTCGGTCTCTCCGGTGGATCCTGAGGGGGGGAAGCCAATTCAGAGGTGTTGAATTATATAATTTATTTCAATTTTAATGCATGGAAATGGTGGTAAAATTTACCAAGGGTTTTTTTCCTTTTAATCGTGGATGATCAAAAGCAGGTTGATGACGCAGTAAAACACAATCTATGATATCACCATCTGGACTCTGCAGCACCATTTCTAAAACGTGTTAGTGAAAAACAGAGGAGACTGCAAGTCAGTGGCCAAAACGAAAGATTAAATTGCCTGAATTGTCTTGACCGCCGCCTTGTTGATCTTGTCGAGACGTTCCCTTATTATCTTCAAACTTTTTAACTTTTCTCCCGGCCGGAAAGTTTGATTTCTTGCATGGAGATCGCCGGAACAAAACGAAGAAGAAACAAGAAGGAAGAATACAAAAACGGGAATGATTGGCGACATCTTACAACAATAGGAAGAAGCCATTTTCTGTGTCGGTTCTTGTTGTGTATTAGTTTCCGTTTTTGTACATTGGTGTTGTCTTCTTCTTCTTTTTCTTTGACCTAAACAGGACAGCACCATTTGGAAACGAAGCTACCACCGAATAATCTATCCAACATAACATCAAACTTGTAAGGAAACCTCCTTGACTTGCTCAATCTCTCACCATTTTCCAAAGCTCTCGAAAGAAAACCTTACAAATGGACAAAAAAATTAATACTAAAATAATCGAATAAAACTTCCTTCTTCTTCTTTTTTACAGCTTCAAATGTCTTGGATTCTATGTTCTGACACCTTGAATTGTGGAGCTTCTAAGCGTTTGGGTGATTAGGAAAATGGAAAAACATAGAAATGGCTGTTTTTTTAAAGTTTTGCCCCTGTGGGTGTGGCGATATAAATATTATAATGAAATCATGCCTAGGGTTTAATTATATATCTGGGGGGTTTGAGAACCTCCTTGACTTGCTCAATCTCTCACCATTTTCCAAAGCTCTCGAAAGAAAACCTTACAAATGGACAAAAAAATTAATACTAAAATAATCGAATAAAACTTCCTTCTTCTTCTTTTTTACAGCTTCAAATGTCTTGGATTCTATGTTCTGACACCTTGAATTGTGGAGCTTCTAAGCGTTTGGGTGATTAGGAAAATGGAAAAACATAGAAATGGGCTGTTTTTTTAAAGTTTTGCCCCTGTGGGTGTGGCGATATAAATATTAAGTAGTGATGAAATCATGCCTAGGGTTTAATTATATATCTGGGGGGTTTGAGAGAGTGTTGAAAAGGTATTTTTAATTTTTGAACGAAGGATTATAATATAATATTTGTTTTAAAAAGAATTAATATATATGTATATATATATATATATATTTCACACGTAACTGTTAAAATTTAAATATTATAGAGAATAATATATTTTTCTTATCATTGACATTGTTAATTAAATAGATGAAAATGGGTGCAGATTTTATATTATTCTTCACTTTGGATCCTGATAACATAAAGGAAATACAGATTCTGCCTCTGGGTTTCTAAAGTTGGTTGCTTTTAACCATTTCTCTTGCTCATCTCCTTAGATGTTCTGTGTGTCAGTTCCTTGGTATTTTGTTTTACTCAAATATTTAACTTGATGCATTGATGGTAATACATACGAAAGAAAAGGAGAAAGTCACCGGGTGTTGCTCATACTACGGTAACCAACATGTGCCTTGGATGGAGGGGATTGCAGATTTGGTGGGTCAATTCGTACGGTCAAACATAGATAGCAGGAAAAAAAAATCATTACATGTTGTTTTTCGGTTTGTTTGTGAGAGATGCTAAAATATAATCTAATGGTAGTAGCAATTAGAAAACAAGATTTGAAGGTGTGTCGTTTTGTGCGAGTGATGGCAAATTTGTTAGTGGCGTATGGTTTAAAGAATATACGATAGAATTGCCCGTCCAGCTCAGTTGGTAGAGCGTAAGGCTCTTAACTTTGTGGTCGTGGGATCGAGTCCTACGGTGGATAATTCATAATTCTAACTGCCGGAGATCTTCCACGGAAGCTGCTATCAACCTGTTGAGGGCAGCCTACTACCTTACATCACCCTCATCCCAATACATATAGGAATAGGATTAACTAAAAAAAATATGATTATCTTTAAAAATAATATTATTAGAATATAACATTACTATGATAATGTTATATTATATTGTTTAGTTTATTTAGCATAAATGTAAAATTACAGTGTTTGATTAAAGGAATATAAGATTACTTGAATGCAAATTTTACCAAATTATCCTTGTGATATATATAATTTTAAAGATATTAAACTGTAATGTTAAATTATAAATATTTGAATGCAAATTTTACCAAATTATCCTTGTGATATATATAATTTTAAAGATATTAAACTGTAATGTTAAATTATAAATATTTTTAAATAATTTTCATAAGTATTATAAATAAAATATAATATAATATAAAAATATTATGATCTCAAGTGGACAAATATATTATTTTTAATATATAAGATCTATTTTTAATAACTTAAAATTAAGTATTATTTTAAATAATTATATTTTTACAATCATATTTTTTTCACCTCATAAAAATATAAATAATTAATTTATTAAAAAATATAAAATATAAAATAATTTTAAATACTCAAATTTATTAATATTTTACTAAATTAAACTCTTCATATATTATTATTATATTTATAATTTTAAGTAAAGTAAAAAATATAAGAATTGAAAAGATTATTATAAAAAGAATTCATTAATAAACTAATTTTTTATAAAAAGTTATACCATCTCCGTTGTCCGTTGAACCCGCTCTGAATAACCCTCCTTTTGTCAGATTATTGTCAATGTAATCATAAAAAGTTATTTTTTCAGGAATTTTATACTAAACTTCTGATAAACTTTGATTTTTGGTTAACCCAACACTAACTCTTCGATGTATTTCTTGCTTGAAGTATCCTTGATCCCATTGATAACGAATAGGACCAAATAATTCGATGAATATTCTTGTTTAAAGTGGTAAAAATTATTTAATAAGTAAGAATTTAGAAATAATGAAATTCTCATTATTTTAATCAAAATATATTACTATTGGGAAAACATTATTCACTGATAATAATTTTTTCCTTAATCCAAATGGCAAATGGCTTGCACGCGCACTTGGTTATGGTGCATGCTTTGGCTTTTGCTTATATATATTAATGTTGCAAAACTGCCTTCGCATGCTTTATTTCGTTCATTACAGGCGCTCCTCCTCCGTGTTTGTAATTAATGATAAATTATTTTATGACTTGGTTCATTATATTATTTATGGTCATAGTGAATGAGAGTTACACATTTTAAAATAACTTTTAAATAATTATCTACTCTTTATTTATAGAAAAGAGATGAAGATTCAACTTGAAAAAAAAATAAGATAAGAAATTATTATTGGTTGAGACTATAGATGAAGTGGTGAGCCATGACCATCTAATATTTTTTCCTAATTTAGGTGCTCAACTTTGATTTGATTTGCTATTTGCTGCTAGGCAATTGGTTTTGAATATAACATTTTGTTTAAGTAAATCTAATTCAATCCCTTTATAAAATAAGATAATATAATAAAAAAGTTTAATTAATTTTAAAAAAATAAAAATACAAACAAAAATCATTATTAACGATAAAAGATAACCACTATTAAAAAAACTATGATAATAATAGAAGATAATAACAAGTCAATCAACTTTATCATAACTCAAATATATAAAATATATTAGAAATTTTATTGACAAATGAAATCAAAGAAATATTAACATACAATAAGATGAGCGCAAGAGACGAAATTAACCGTGGATCGACCTTCCTTACATTCACGGATGAGAGAAACGATAACCCATTAGATCACAAAGAGTATAAATACATAAATTCTATTTTAACCTCAATTTTAATATGTATCTCAAAACTCGGTGTATCTCGAGATTCAAAATATTTCCTTAATATCTCGATGGTGATTTGGGTTGATGAATGGTAAAGGTGGTGTGTTAGGTAAGCTTCGGTAGTGACTTCGAGTTTTAGAGGTTATAATGTGAAATTCTGGGATTAAAATTTTGGGTGTTAGAGATTTATAGATTTAAGTTTATGGATTTATGAGATTGAGATGATGACAAGGGTTATGATCAATTAGTGGTCGTTCAGAAACAAGACAATCAACTATGATAATATGGATTTGAAATCATATATTTTAAAAGTTCGTTTTTTAGATTTTACCTAAATTTTAGGTATTTTTAAATTAATGATAATTTCAAATTTTTTAAAATAAAACTTTTAAAAATTTATAAATATGTTACGTGTCATGTTGTGAATGATTGGTAGATCTTTTTAACGATTATTATAAACCATACATTCTTAGTATATCTAGAACCCATAAATTAAGAGAATATAAGGGAACACATCTAAACAAGCTGAGCAAACCAATCAAATATACAAGCTCTTTGGGGGGGGGGGGAAATTAACCTTTAAAGCAAATTTTAAAAACTTGTTTTTTAATTAAACCTTTTCTCTATTAATAAATGAACCATGGGTCTTAGATGTCGCAATTCATATGAGTGATATGCCAAATTCACTTGGGATGGTGCTTTTTGTCGGCAGCCCAATGCCGATTGAAAAACACGTTGTGGATCATAATAAGTCCATGTTCCCATATGAGGGATCCTGCCTGAAAGCTGAGATCCAATTGGCCTATGACCCTTTTTTTGTTATGCTTTGTGAAACCATATGAGCATAGAACATATGATACTCTCATCAAGGAAGCTCGTGAAACCATTTCGAAGAGTGATAGATTGAGTGTAAATGTTCAACAATGAAAGTATTTTTTTAAAAATAAAATAAAAGAATTAGCATGACATTCAGCTGAAATGTTATATGAACTGCTATGTTTAATGTTTATGTTCATTAAAATTAAACTTGTTGGTGAACTTTTTTTCGTTTAGAAATAATTATTAGACTTTTAAAATATTTAAGGAACAAATTTGATTTTTTTTTTTAAAAAATGATTATTAATTTAACAGAATAAAATAAATTATAATTAAATTTATCATTTATGTAATTTTAAAATTCTTTCCTCACTCTTGGCAAAAGTAACCAATTAAATCCAAGATGAAGAATAATATACAGTAGAATATCATTTAAAAAATGGAGCTTTAGAATGATAGTTAAAAAAGCGTAACAAAAAACAATAAAGTGAATTCCACATGAAAAGAAGAGAATAGAATCATGAGGAAGAGTGGTAGTTGTTTAAACCTTATACCTAAACTCCATCTCTACAATTATCATACGCTTCTTCTTCTTCTTCTTTTAATTAATCATGTGTATTTAATTTATTGATCTATTAATTTAAATTGGGTACTGTAGAGGTGAGAGCGATCCTCCTAACTCAATTTGCTCCATTTGCAAACGTTAGGATTCGACCCCCTGACCTTACTTAAAGGACCTAGTACCTTATCCCACTAAACCAACTAGATGTTGTTATCACATGCTTCTTTTGATTCCCTCTTCCCTTTATTTGTGTGTAGGATATCAATTTTAAAATAAACCCAAAACAAAAATAGAAGCTCTTGAAACAGTGGAAAAGGATGGGATGGGAAAAAAT